AATGTAATAAACACCCGGACTAGACACCTATTATACAATAATGTAATAAACACCTGGACTAGACACCTATGATACAATAATGTAATAAACACCTGGGCTAGACACCTATGATACAATGATGTAATAAACACCTGGACTAGACACCTATGATACAATAATGTAATAAACACCTGGACTAGACACCTATGATACAATAATGTAATAAACACCCAGACTAGACACCTATTATACAATAATGTAATAAACACCCGGACTAGACACCTATGATACAATAATGTAATAAACACCTGGACAAGACACCTATGATACAATAATGTAATAAACACCTGGGCTAGACACCTATGATACAATGATGTAATAAACACCTGGACTAGACACCTATGATACAATAATGTAATAAACACCTGGACTAGACACCTATGATACAATAATGTAATAAACACCCAGACTAGACACCTATTATACAATAATGTAATAAACACCCGGGCTAGACACCTATGATACAATAATGTAATAAACACCTGGACAAGACACCTATGATACAATAATGTAATAAACACCTGGACAAGACACCTATGATACAATGATGTAATAAACACCTGGACTAGACACCTATGATACAATGATGTAATAAACACCTGGACTAGACACCTATGATACAATAATGTAATAAACACCTGGACAAGACACCTATGATACAATAATGTAATAAACACCTGGACAAGACACCTATGATACAATGATGTAATAAACACCTGGACTAGACACCTATGATACAATAATGTAATAAACACCTGGACTAGACACCTATGATACAATAATGTAATAAACACCCGGACTAGACACCTATTATACAATAATGTAATAAACACCTGGACTAGACACCTATGATACAATAATGTAATAAACACCTGGGCTAGACACCTATGATACAATGATGTAATAAACACCTGGACTAGACACCTATGATACAATAATGTAATAAACACCTGGACTAGACACCTATGATACAATAATGTAATAAACACCCAGACTAGACACCTATTATACAATAATGTAATAAACACCCGGACTAGACACCTATGATACAATAATGTAATAAACACCTGGACAAGACACCTATGATACAATAATGTAATAAACACCCAGACTAGACACCTATTATACAATAATGTAATAAACACCCGGACTAGACACCTATGATACAATAATGTATTAAACACCTGGACAAGACACCTATGATACAATAATGTAATAAACACCTGGACAAGACACCTATGATACAATAATGTAATAAACACCCAGGCTAGACACCTATGATACAATAATGTAATAAACACCCGGACTAGACACCTGTGATACAATAATGTAATAAACACCTGGACAAGACACCTATGATACAATAATGTAATAAACACCTGGACAAGACACCTATGATACAATATTGTATTAAACACCTGGACTAGACACCTATGATACAATAATGTAATAAACACCCGGGCTAGACACCTATGATACAATAATGTAATAAACACCCGGGCTAGACACCTATGATACAATGATGTAATAAACACCCGGACTAGACACCTATGATACAATGATGTAATAAACACCCGGACTAGACACCTATGATACAATAATGTAATAAACACCTGGACTAGACACCTATGATACAATGATGTAATAAACACCCGGACTAGACACCTATGATACAATGATGTAATAAACACCCGGACTAGACACCTATGATACAATGATGTAATAAACACCCGGACTAGACACCTATGATACAATAATGTAATAAACACCCGGGCTAGACACCTATGAAACAATGATGTAATAAACACCCGGACTAGACACCTATGATACAATGATGTAATAAACACCCGGACTAGACACCTATGATACAATAATGTAATAAACACCTGGACAAGACACCTATGATACAATAATGTAATAAACAACTTCACAAGACACCTATGATACAATAATGTAATAAACACCTGGACAAGACACCTATGATACAATAATGTATTAAACACCTGGACTAGACACCTATGATACAATAATGTAATAAACACCTGGACAAGACACCTATGATACAATAATGTAATAAACACCTGGACAAGACACCTATGACAAATAATGTATTAAACACCTGGACTAGACACCTATGATACAATAATGTAATAAACACCCGGGCTAGACACCTATGATACAATGATGTAATAAACACCCGGACTAGACACCTATGATACAATGATGTAATAAACACCCGGACTAGACACCTATGATACAATAATGTATTAAACACCTGGACTAGACACCTATGATACAATAATGTAATAAACACCTGGACAAGACACCTATGATACAATAATGTAATAAACACCTGGACAAGACACCTATGATACAATAATGTATTAAACACCTGGACTAGACACCTATGATACAATAATGTAATAAACACCTGGACTAGACACCTATGATACAATAATGTAATAAACACCTGGACAAGACACCTATGATACAATAATGTAATAAACACCTGGACAAGACACCTATGATACAATAATGTATTAAACACCTGGACTAGACACCTATGATACAATAATGTAATAAACACCTGGAAAAGACACCTATGATACAATAATGTAATAAACACCCGGACTAGACACCTATGATACAATAATGTAATAAACACCTGGACTAGACACCTATGATACAATAATGTAATAAACACCCAGACAAGACACATAGGATACAATAATGTAATAAACACCCGGACTAGACACCTATGATACAATACTGTAATAAACACCCGGGCTAGACACCTATTATACAATAATGTAATAAACACCCGGACTAGACACCTATGATACAATAATGTAATAAACACCCAGACAAGACACATAGGATACAATAATGTAATAAACACCCGTACTAGACACCTATGATACAATAATGTAATAAACACCCAGACAAGACACATAGGATACAATAATGAAATAAACACCCGGACTAGACACCTATAATACAACCCATGCTTTCGTTCTTTTTAAACACAGAAACAGTTTTGTTTACCTGTTTTGTAGCTACAGTGTCGCCGACGGCTGCCGGCCTCTTCAGGCTGACGCTGATGGAAAGAACAAAAGAATGGATTTAGAAAGACACAGCAAGAACACACCTAAGACCTATAATACAATAATGTAATAAACACCCGGACTAGACACCTATGATACAATGATGTAATAAACACCAGGGCTAGACACCTATGATACAATGATGTAATAAACACCTGGACTAGACAGCTATGATACAATAATGTAATAAACACCTGGACTAAACACCTATGATACAATGATGTAATAAACACCTGGACTAGACAACTATGATACAATGATGTAATAAACACCCGGACTAGACACCTATGATACAATGATGTAATAAACACCCGGACTAGACACCTATGATACAATAATGTAATAAAAACCCGGACTAGACACCTATGATACAATAATGTATTAAACACCCGGACTAGACACCTATGATACAATTATGTAATAAACACCCGGACTAGACACCTATGATACAATGATGTAATAAACACCCGAACTAGACACCTATGATACAATAATGTAATAAACACCCGGACTAGACACCTATGATACAATAATGTAATAAACACCCGGACTAGACAACTATGATACAATGATGTAATAAACACCCGGACTAGAAGCCTATGATACAATGATGTAATAAACACCCGGACTAGACACCTATGATACAATAATGTAATAAACACCCAGACTAGACACCTATGATACAATAATGTAATAAACACCCGGACTAGACACCTATGATACAATGATGTAATAAACACCCGGACTAGACAACTATGATACAATGATGTAATAAACACCCGGACTAGACACCTATGATACAATGATGTAATAAACACCCGGACTAGACACCTATGATACAATGATGTAATAAACACCCGGACTAGACACCTATGATACAATGATGTAATAAACACCCGGACTAGACACCTATGATACAATGATGTAATAAACACCCGGACTAGACACCTATGATACAATAATGTAATAAACACCTGGACTAGACACCTATGATGCAATGATGTAATAAACACCCGGACTAGACACCTATGATACAATAATGTAATAAACACCCGGACTAGACACCTATGATACAATGATGTAATAAACACCCGGACTAGACACTTATGATACAATAATGTAATAAACACCCGGACTAGACACCTATGATACAATGATGTAATAAACACCCGGACTAGACACCTATGATACAATAATGTAATAAACACCCAGACAAGACACATAGGATACAATAATGTAATAAACACCCGGACTAGACACTTATAATACAATAATGTAATAAACACCCGGACTAGACACCTATGATACAATAATGTATTAAACACCTGGACTAGACACCTATGATACAATACTGTAATAAACACCCGGGCTAGACACCTATTATACAATAATGTAATAAACACCCGGACTAGACACCTATGACACAATAATGTAATAAACACCCAGACAAGACACATAGGATACAATAATGTAATAAACACCCGGACTAGACACCTATGATACAATAATGTAATAAACACCCAGACAAGACACATAGGATACAATAATGAAATAAACACCCGGACTAGACACCTATAATACAACCCATGCTTTCGTTCTTTTTAAACACAGAAACAGTTTTGTTTACCTGTTTTGTAGCTACAGTTTCGCCGACGGCTGCCGGCCTCTTCAGGCTGACGCTGATGGAAAGAACGAAAGAATGGATTTAGAAAGACACAGCAAGAACACACCTAAGACCTATAATACAATAATGTAATAAACACCTGGACTAGACACCTATGATACAATGATGTAATAAACACCAGGGCTAGACACCTATGATACAATGATGTAATAAACACCCGGACTAGACACCTATGATACAATAATGTAATAAACACCCAGACAAGACACATAGGATACAATAATGTAATAAACACCCGGACTAGACACCTATAATACAACCCATGCTTTCGTTCTTTTTAAACACAGAAACAGTTTTGTTTACCTGTTTTGTAGCTACAGTTTCGCCGACGGCTGCCGGCTTCTTCAGGCTGACGCTGATGGAAAGAACGAAAGAATGGATTTAGAAAGACACAGCAAGAACACACCTAAGACCTATAATACAATAATGTAATAAACACCTGGACTAGACACCTATGATACAATGATGTAATAAACACCCGGACTAGACACCTATGATACAATAATGTAATAAACACCCAGACAAGACACATAGGATACAATAATGTAATAAACACCCGGACTAGACACCTATAATACAACCCATGCTTTCGTTCTTTTTAAACACAGAAACAGTTTTGTTTACCTGTTTTGTAGCTACAGTTTCGCCGACGGCTGCCGGCTTCTTCAGGCTGACGCTGATGGAAAGAACGAAAGAATGGATTTAGAAAGACACAGCAAGAACACACCTAAGACCTATAATACAATAATGTAATAAACACCTGGACTAGACACCTATGATACAATGATGTAATAAACACCAGGGCTAGACACCTATGATACAATGATGTAATAAACACCCGGACTAGACACCTATGATACAATAATGTAATAAACACCTGGACTAGACACCTATGATACAATGATGTAGTAAACACCTGGACTAGACAACTATGATACAATGATGTAATAAAAACCCGGACTAGACACCTATGATACAATGATGTAATAAACACCCGGCCTAGACACCTATGATACAATAATGTAATAAAAACCCGGACTAGACACCTATGATACAATAATGTATTAAACACCCGGACTAGACACCTATGATACAATGATGTAATAAACACCCGGACTAGACAACTATGATACAATGATGTAATAAACACCTGGACTAGACACCTATGATACAATAATGTAATAAACACCCGGACTAGACACCTATGATACAATAATGTAATAAACACCTGGACTAGACAACTATGATACAATGATGTAATAAACACCAGGACTAGACACCTATGATACAATGATGTAATAAACACCCGGACTAGACACCTATGATACAATGATGTAATAAACACCCGGACTAGACACCTATGATACAATGATGTAATAAACACCCGGACTACACACCTATGATACAATGATGTAATAAACACCCGGACTAGACACCTATGATACAATAATGTAATAAACACCTGGACTAGACACCTATGATGCAATGATGTAATAAACACCCGGACTAGACACCTATGATACAATAATGTAATAAACACCCGGACTAGACAGCTATGATACAATAATGTAATAAACACCTGGACTAGACACCTATGATGCAATGATGTAATAAACACCCGGACTAGACACCTATGATACAATGATGTAATAAACACCCGGACTAGACACCTATGATACAATGATGTAATAAACACCCGGACTAGACACCTATGATACAATGATGTAATAACCACCCGGGTTAGACACCTATGATACAATAATGTAATAAACACCCGGACTAGACACCTTTGATACAATGATGTAATAAACACCCGGACTAGACACCTATGATACAATAATGTAATAACCACCCGGGTTAGACACCTATGATACAATGATGTAATAAACACCCGGACTAGACACCTTTGATACAATAATGTAATAAACACCTGGACTAGACACCTATGATACAATAATGTAATAAACACCTGGACTAGACACCTATGATACAATAATGTAATAAACACCCGGACTAGACACCTATGATACAATGATGTAATAAACACCCGGACTAGACACCTATGATACAATGATGTAATAAACTCCCGGACTAGACACCTATGATACAATGATGTAATAAACACCCGGACTAGACAACTATAACACAATAATGTAATAAACACCTGGACTAGACACCTTTGATACAATAATGTAATAAACACCTGGACTAGACACCTATGATACAATAATGTAATAAACACCTGGACTAGACACCTATGATACAATAATGTAATAAACACCAGAATTCAGGTTGGTGTTTGATTTACGTGTGTGAAACACAGTTCATCTGTTTACAGGAGAGGACGTAGATGTTCTGTAATGATTCATGACAACATCTAGCCTAGTGAACTAGACCAAATTCTTGTTTTGCAAAGTTTGGTCTAGGCATGCTCCACTGGAACCTCTGCAGCCCCAACAGCATTCTGGCTGGCCAATCACAGCTCTCTAGAGGGGTTTCAAACACATAAAGAGCTGTGATTGGTCCATAATGGTGGGCCAATCATAGTGCTCTATCTGCTTAGTGAAGAAATCACAGAGCTTTATCTGCTTTGTGGGCCATTAAGGGCACTCTATATGCCTGGTGGGTGGGATGATGCAACAGGGTGAAACAAGAGTATGTCACATTCATTGTCCAGTGGAATGCGGAGATCATTTGAAAGACAACGGTAGAACCCGCCCCACAACCAAGAGCCGTCAATGGAGCGTGGCCAGACTAAATAATACATTTATTTAGTCTGGCTTGCCAGGCTAGACAACTTCCCTTAACACAGCAGCATTCCTATAGGTGGTAAAGTGTACTCACACTGAATGTCTACATCTTTATGCACTCTGGCCAGTATCTTTGACCGGTGATCCTGAGTCCTTTCTCAGTGGAACAACTCAAAAATAACCGTGGTTTTTCCTTTTAAAGACAGACCTCTTCAAAATGTCATCTGGTCCAATGAGGGCGCTGGGACCATGTTCTCGCCCAGAGAAGCAGCCATCTTTAGGCGCTCGTTCACTGTTGAATCACAGGTGGGAGGGAGATCCAGGGAGAGTGTAGAATTGCTTATATTTTTGATTTATTCAATATATTTACCTTCTACTGTACCATGTTCAGCGCCTTGGGCTTCCTAACAGAGTTGCGGAAGGCGCTTTATAAATAAAGCATTGATTGATTGATTGATTGATTGATTGATTGATTGATTGTAGAGTGCATTGACTCCTTCAGTTGATGTCCTCGCTAGACTAAGTCCACAATCCAAAGGCAGGGGTTAGGTCGGGTTTTCACAGCATCTGTCTGCATTCCTTCATGGGGATGTTTCTTCTTGCAGCTGAAGGCTACCAGGGTGCCAGATTCAGAGAAGAAGAATCAGAGATAACTTTCTCTCTGCCTTTCAGTCTTTAACTGATCCTTCCAGTCTCTCAGTGAATCCAATGTTAGGGTTTAGACTTGCCCGTACTGTGCATTTCTTTCTCCAAGATCACATCCATCTTGTGCACTAACACTGGGATTGCAGGTAGAACCTCTAGCTTACGATTCACCTCGACTAACGTCCCAGTCTGAGTAGTTTCCACACGGAGACGTTCCATGGGTACATGTTGCCCTTCAATCGCTCACATCTTCCCAATGTTCCAGAATACCAGAAATCCTCCCACTCCAAACAGAAGAAATTCAGTAATCATCAGCCCAAAAATCCACACGTCTTCCATGTCCTCCAAGGAGAGCGTGCAAAGGCGTATAATATTCCACTCCTTCCAGGAATTCAATACCGTATTTTCCGGGCTATAAGTCGCTCCGGAGTATGAGTCGCACCAGCCATAAAATGTATAATGAAGAAGAAAAAAACATATATAAGTCGCATTTTGGGGGGGGGGGGGGGGGGGATTTTATTATTTTTCTTACAAAATCTGAGACCAAGCATTTCACGTTGCAAGACAAATACCGGTAACAATAACATAATAAACAACCAGCTGTTGCATCAGGGGTATGCGCAGCAGCGCGCCACGGTCTCCAGCAGAAGATGGCAGTGTTTCAAACCCTCCCAGTGGGCAGGGAGAGCTCATTCCTGGGTCGGAGCCGGCCGGCAGCAGCGCGGTATAGCCTCCATAATTTGGTATATAAGTCGCAGGACTAGCCAGACTATGAAAAAAAGTGCGACTTATAGTCCGGAAAATACGGTACATACCCCACCAGGTGCGTCCCCTGAGGACAAGTAGGAGCCCCCTGCTCCGTTCTCATTGTTGAAAAAAAAATTGTCAACCGTATTAAATGACCAGCTAATCACATCCATGATGAATAAAAATAGAGTTTTAGGAGAAATGCAGAGAAGTGCTCTGTAGGCAGACAGGACAAGAGCCTTGGAAAATAAGATGAGGGAGAGAAAAGAGATGTCTTTGTACTCTCTTAGGGGTAATAGTTTGTTGCTGCTAAACAGCTGCTTTCTGTCTGTTCCAGAATCAGTTAAAGAAACACAACAGTTGCAGTTAGATGTCAAGAACAACAAGGATCACCTGACCTCAGGTCAGTCTCACAAAACAACATCTGGACAGCAGTGCTAGTAACAATTGTAAAGCAGCTGGTAACATGTGTGTAACAGCTGGTAACATGTGTGTAACAGCTGGTAACATGTGTGTAACAGCTGGAAACATGTGTGTACCAGCTGGTAACATGTGTGTACCAGCTGGTAACATGTGTGTAACAGCTGGTAACATGTGTGTAACAGCTGGAAACATGTGTGTACCAGCTGGTAACATGTGTGTACCAGCTGGTAACATGTGTGTAACAGCTGGTAACATGTGTGTAACAGCTGGAAACATCTGTGTACCAGCTGGTAACATGTGTGTAACAGCTGGTAACATGTGTGTAACAGCTGGAAACATGTGTGTACCAGCTGGTAACATGTGTGTAACAGCTGGTAACATGTGTGTAACAGCTGGAAACATGTGTGTACCAGCTGGTAACATGTGTGTAACAGCTGGTAACATGTGTGTAACAGCTGGAAACATGTGTGTACCAGCTGGTAACATGTGTGTAACAGCTGGTAACATGTGTGTAACAGCTGGAAACATCTGTGTACCAGCTGGTAACATGTGTGTAACAGCTGGTAACATGTGTGTAACAGCTGGAATCATGTGTGTACCAGCTGGTAACATGTGTGTAACAGCTGGTAACATGTGTGTAACAGCTAGTAACATGTGTATAACAGGTAGTAACATGTGTATAATAGCTAGTAAAATGTGTAACAGCTGGTAACATGTGTGTAACAGCTGGTAACATGTGTATAACAGCTAGCTAGTAACATGCGTAAAACAGCTAGTAAAATGTGTAACAGCTGGTAACATGTGTGTAACAGCTGGTAACATGTGTGTACCATCTAGTAACATGTGTATAACAGGTAGTAACATGTGTATAATAGCTAGTAAAATGTGTAACAGCTGGTAACATGTGTGTAACAGCTAATAACATGTGTATAACAGGTTGCAACATGTGTGTAACAGCTGGTAACATGTGTGTAACAGCTAGTAACATGTGTATAATAGCTAGTAAAATGTGTAACAGCTGGTGACCTGTGTGTAACAGCTGGTAACATGTGTATAACAACTAGTGACATGTCTATAACAGCTAGTAACATTCGTAAAACAGCTAGTAAAATGTGTAACAGCTGGTAACATGTGTGTAACAGCTAGTAACATGTGTATAACAGGTAGCAACATGTGTGTAAAAGCTAGTAAAATGTGTAACAGCAGGTAACATGTGTGTAACAGCTGGTAACATGTGTATAACAGCTAGTTACATGTGTATAACAGCTAGTAACATGTGTATAACAGCTAGTAACATGTGTATAACAGCTAGTAAAATGTGTGTAACAGCTGGTAACATGTGTGTAACAGCTGGTAACATGTGTATAACAACTAGTAACATGTGTATAACAGCTAGTAAAATGTGTAACAGTTGGTAAAGTGTGTAACAGCTGGTAACATGTGTGTAACATCTGGTAACATGTGTATAACAGGTAGCAACATGTGTATAATAGCTAGTAAAATGTGTATCAGCAGGTAACATGTGTGTAACAGCTGGTAACATGTGTGTAACAGCTAGTAACATGTGTATAACAGCTAGTAAAATGTGTAACAGCTGGTAACATGTGTGTAACAGCTGGTAACATGTGTATAACAACTAGTGACATGTCTATAACAGCTAGTAACATGTATAACAGCTAGTAAAATGTGTATCAGCAGGTAACATGTGTGTAACAGCTAGTAAAATGTGTAACAGCTGGTAACATGTGTGTAACAGCTGGTAACACGTGTGTAACAGCTGGTAACATGTGTGTAACAGCCGGCAACATGCATATAACAGCTAGTAAAATGTGTGACAGCTGGTAACATGTGTGTAACAGCTGGTAACATGTGTATAACAGCTAGTAACATGTGTTACAGCTGGTAACATGTGTATAACAGCTAGTAAAATGTGTAACAGCTGGTAACATGTGTGTAACAGCTGGTAACATGTGTATATTAGCTAGTAAAACGCGTTGTGTTTATTTTGTGTTCAGTGATGGAATCTCTCAAGCAGCTGTCGGTGCTCAAATCTCTCAGCAGAAATGTTGCTTCACTCAAATGCTCCCTCCAGCTCATCATCAACAACAGTATACACAACAACACACACTTTGTTGTTATGCACACATTATGCACATGTCTGACCCCCTGTGTGTCTCTGCGTTCCTTTGTGTGTTGTAGGTTCATCAGGTCAATGTTGTCCTCTTGACTGGATTTCGTTTGGCTCTAACTGTTATCACTTCAGTACAGAGTTTCTGTCCTGGAATAAGTCCAAAGACTGGTGTGAGAATCAGGACGCTCACCTGGTGATCCTGAACAGTGACCAGGAGTGGGTGAGACACTCATCTGTCTGTGATGATGTAGATGCTATCTGACCTCAGCATGATCATCAGGAAAAGCACACCATGAAAACCTGCTTAGCTCCACACATCGTTCCTGTTTGGTGTATATAGGCTTCTATTGGAGACACTTAGTGGGCATGCTGGGAAATGGTTACTGGTCTGGGCATCATTCCTGCCCACATCAGAGACACATGATGAATTATAAACATCCACATGGCAGGAGCAAAGTGGAGCAGAGGTCCCTTTAGTCTCACTATAGCGTATGATAAATGACTCACACTTGTATAGCACCTTTCAGAGTCAGAGGACTCCAAAGTGCTTTACACTACAGTGCATCCTTCATCCATTCACACAGACACACTGATGACGATGAGCTACAACCACAGCTGGCCTGGGGCGCACTGACAGAGGCGAGGCTGCTGAACACAGGCGCCACCGGTCCCTCCGACCACCACCAGCAGGCAAGGTGGGTTAAGTGTCTTGCCCAAGGGCACAACAGCAGGATTCTCTGTCTGGACCAGGAATCGAACCTGCAACCTTCCAATTACTGGACAACCCGCTCTACCTCTTGAGCTGCTGCTGCCCATATTTCAGATGGATCTAAGTGAAGATAGCCTGGTCCATTCTAAAGATCAGCGTGGTGTCCATGTGTCTTAATCCAAAGTCAGGTGTCCATGGGTCCTAGTCCAACGTCAGGTATCCATGGGTCCTAGTCCAACGTCAGGTGTCCATGTGTCCTAATCCCATGTCAGGTGTCCATGTGTACCAGTCCAACGTCAGATGTCCATGTGTCCTAATCCCATGTCAGGTGTCCATGTGTCCTAATCCCATGTCAGGTGTCCATGTGTACCAGTCCAACGTCAGATGTCCATGTGTACCAGTCCAACGTCAGGTGTCCATGTGTCCTAATCCCATGTCAGGTGTCCATGTGTCCTAATCCCATGTCAGGTGTCCATGTGTACCAGTCCAACGTCAGATGTCCATGTGTACCAGTCCAACGTCAGGTGTCCATGTGTCCTAATCCCATGTCAGGTGTCCATGTGTCCTAATCCCATGTCAGGTGTCCATGTGTACCAGTCCAACGTCAGGTGTCCATGGGTCCTAGTCCAACGTCAGGTGTCCATGTGTACCAATCCAACGTCAGATGTCCATGTGTACCAGTCCAACGTCAGGTGTCCATATGTACTAGTCCAACGTCAGGTGTCCATGTGTACCAGTCCAACGTCAGATGTCCATGTGTACCAGTCCAACGTCAGGTGTCCATATGTACTAGTCCAACATCAGGTGTCCATGTGTCCTAATCCCATGTCAGGTGTCCATGTGTACCAGTCCAACGTCAGGTGTCCATGTGTACTAGTCCAACGTTAGGTGTGTCACGATCTGCCCCTGCCCTGATTAGTCTGTATTGTTTTCACCTGTCCCTCATTAACCTGCCCATGTTTTCCCAATCAGCCTTGTGCATTTATACCACCTGTTTTGCTCCTGTCCTTTGTCGGATCATTGTATGTGCATGTGTTTGTTTGTCCTGTCGCTCCCGGTCCACCATTAAACCCATTTTTATTTTTCATCTGTGCCTGCTCATCTGCCTCCTGAACCCTCCACCACACTTGGTCCATCATCTCCACTCCACCCAACATGACAAGGTGTCCATGTGTCCTAATCCTATGTCAGGTGTCCATGGGTCCTAGTCCAAAGTCAGGTGTCCATGTGTCCTAGTCCAACGTCAGGTGTCCATGTGTCCTAATCCTATGTCAGGTGTCCATGTGTCCTAATCCTATGTCAGGTGTCCATGGGTCCTAATCCTATGTCAGGTGTCCATGGGTCCTAGTCCTAAGTCAGGTGTCCATGTGTCCTAATCCTATGTCAGGTGTCCATGGGTCCTAATCCTATGTCAGGTGTCCATGGGTCCTAGTCCTAAGTCAGGTGTCCATGTGTCCTAATCTTATGTCAGGTGTCCATGGGTCCTAGTCCAACATCAGGTGTCCATGGTCCTAGTCCAAAGTCAGGTGTCTATGGATCCAAGTCCAAAGTCAGGTGTCCATGGGTCCTAGTCCAACGTCAGGTGTCCATGGATCCTAGTCCAAAGTCAGGTGTCTATGGATCCAAGTCCAAAGTCAGGTGTCCATGTGTCCTAGTCCAACGTCAGGTGTCTATGTGTCCTAGTCCAACGTCAGGTGTCTATGGATCCTACTCCAACGTCAGGTGTCCATGTGTACTAGTCCAAAGTCAGGTGTCTATGTGTCCTAGTCCAACGTCAGGTGTCTATGGATCCTACTCCAACGTCAGGTGTCTATGTGTCCTAGTCCAACGTCAGGTGTCTATGGATCCTACTCCAACGTCAGGTGTCTATGTGTCCTAGTCCAAAGTCAGGTGTCTATGTGTCCTAGTCCAACGTCAGGTGTCTATGGATCCTACTCCAACGTCAGGTGTCTATGTGTCCTAGTCCAAAGTCAGGTGTCTATGTGTCCTAGTCCAACGTCAGGTGTCTATGGATCCTACTCCAACATCAGGTGTCCATGTGTACTAGTCCAAAGTCAGGTGTCTATGTGTCCTAGTCCAACGTCAGGTGTCCATGGATCCTAGTCCAACGTCAGGTGTCTATGTGTCCTAGTCCAACGTCAGGTGTCCATGGATCCTAGTCCAACGTCAGGTGTCTATGTGTCCTAGTCCAACGTCAGGTGTCTATGGATCCTACTCCAACGTCAGGTGTCCATGTGTACTAGTCCAAAGTCAGGTGTCTATGTGTCCTAGTCCAACGTCAGGTGTCTATGGATCCTACTCCAACGTCAGGTGTCCATGTGTCCTAATCCTATGTCAGGTGTCCATGGGTCCTAATCCTATGTCAGGTGTCCATGTGTCCTAATCCTATGTCAGGTGTCCATGGGTCCTAATCCTATGTCAGGTGTCCATGGGTCCAAGTCCTAAGTCAGGTGTCCATGTGTCCTAATCTTATGTCAGGTGTCCATGGGTCCTAGTCCAACATCAGGTGTCCATGGTCCTAGTCCAAAGTCAGGTGTCCATGGATCCTAGTCCAAAGTCAGGTGTCTATGGATCCAAGTCCAAAGTCAGGTGTCCATAGGTCCTAGTCCAACGTCAGGTGTCCATGTGTCCTAATCTTATGTCAGGTGTCCATGGGTCCTAGTCCAACATCAGGTGTCCATGGATCCTAGTCCAACGTCAGGTGTCCATGTGTCCTAGTCCAAAGTGAGGTGTCCATGGGTCCTAGTCCAACGTCAGGTGTCCATGGATCCTAGTCCAACGTCAGGTGTCTATGTGTCCTAGTCCAACGTCAGGTGTCCATGGATCCTAGTCCAACGTCAGGTGTCCATGGATCCTAGTCCAACGTCAGGTATCCATGTGTCCTAGTCCAAAGTGAGATGTACATGGGTCTTAGTCCAACGTCAGGTGTCCATGGGTCCTAGTCCAACGTCAGGTGTCCATGGATCCTAGTCCAACGTCAGGTGTCTATGTGTCCTAGTCCAACGTCAGGTGTCCATGGATCCTAGTCCAACATCAGGTGTCTATGTGTCCTAGTCCAACGTCAGGTGTCCATGGATCCTAGTCCAACGTCAGGTGTCTATGTGTCCTAGTCCAACGTCAGGTGTCTATGGATCCTACTCCAACGTCAGGTGTCCATGTGTACTAGTCCAAAGTCAGGTGTCCATGTGTACTAGTCCAACGTCAGGTGTCCATGGATCCTAGTCCAACGTCAGGTGTCTATGTGTCCTAGTCCAACGTCAGGTGTCCATGGATCCTAGTCCACCGTCAGGTGTCTATGTGTCCTAGTCCAACGTCAGGTGTCTATGGATCCTACTCCAACGTCAGGTGTCCATGGTCCTAGTCCAAAGTCAGGTGTCCATGTGTACTAGTCCAACGTCAGGTGTCCATGGTCCTAGTCCAACGTCAGGTGTCTATGTGTACTAGTCCAACGTCAGGTGTCTATGGATCCTACTCCAACGTCAGGTGTCCATGGTCCTAGTCCAAAGTCAGGTGTCCATGTGTACTAGTCCAACGTCAGGTGTCCATGGTCCTAGTCCAAAGTCAGGTGTCCATGTGTCCTAGTCCAAAGTCAGGTGTCCATGGGTCCTACTCCAACGTCAGGTGTCCATGGTCCTAGTCCAAAGTCAGGTGTCCATGTGTCCTAGTCCAAAGTCAGGTGTCCTTGGGTCCTAGTCCAACGTCAGGTGTCCATGGTCCTAGTCCAAAGTCAGGTGTCCTTGGGTCCTAGTCCATTGTGATGGTCAGCATAAAACACTGGAAAATCTGGTCCAAGGTCTCACTAATCCAGCCTAAAAGGTGAAACTAATCTGAGACAGACACATTCCAGATGTCTGTTCTAACTATGATGACACTGGCTTACAGCTGATGAAAACACCACATCCAGCATCTCTGTCTCTGCCTTTGTGTCCTTGGGCAAGTCACTTAACTCACCTTGCCTGCTGGTTGTGGTCGGAGGGACTGGTGGTGCTTGTGCTCGACAGCCTCGCCTTTAAACATCGTTGGTACGTTCTTGCTGTGTTTGTCTTCTAATTCCATTGTTGGTTCTTTTTAAAACACAGAAAGGTTTCTCTTTACCTTGCTGACGTGTCGTCTGCCGACTGTAAAACTTCCTCAGAGCTGACGCTGATGATGGCGTCACTTCCTTCTCCGTTTATCCGCGGGCAGCAGAGGACGTTGTCGCCCTCTGCTGCCCGCTCTCCCCTCTCCGATGATGCAGTCCCATGTGTGGTCCAGCGTGTAAACTCCATCGTCCCTGTTCATGGTCCCACATCCACGTCTCCTTATCTCTATAGCTTCTGTTATCCATCTTTTGTGTTTCTGTTGTTCGGTGTTTATGATCCTTGTGTTGTCCCAGTCCCTTACATGGTTTTCTCTTGTGCAGTGATCTGTTACGACTGACTTCTTTATTGTACTTTCTGCTTCTTCTTTAGCTGCTCTTGTGTGTTTTCCACTTGTTTCTTTCTCACATTCCTTTCTGTGTTCTATTGTTCGTGTGTTGAGTTGGCGTCCGGGTTCTCCTATGTATGTTTTATTGCAGAGTTTGCATGGGATTTGGTAAACGACTCCACGTTTAAGTCCAGCTGGTATCTTGTCTTTTGGGTGCACTAGTCTGTTTCAGCTCTGAGGAAGTTTGCAGCCGCAAACGAAACGTCAGCAAGGTAAAGAAAAACCTTTCTGTGTTTAAAGCAGAACCAAAAATGGAATTAGACTCACCTTTGTCAGTGTGCTGCAGGGCAGCTGTGGCTATGATGTAGCTCATCACCACCAGGGTGTGAATGGATGAATGACTGATTGGTTTGTAAAGCACCTTTGGGGGTCCAGGACTCTAGAAGACACTATGTGAGTTACAAGCCATTTACCATTCTAGACCCAACGTGTCCCACTCTGATCAGCTGATGAATCCAGAACACCTGCAGAAGGTTCCTGGGCCTTTAGATGGTCTCGCAGTCTGAGCTGGATTACTGACATAGAGGGACTTTTGCTCCAGATTCTGGTCACCTGATCAAAGATAATACAGCTGTCATAAGCAGTAGCTACCATGTAGTTCATCACCACCAGCGTGTGAATGGATGATTGATTCACTGAGGTGGGTAGCAGTAGCTCAACAGGTTGAGCGGGTTGTCCAGTAATCGGAAGGTTGCAGGTTCGATCCCGGCTCCGGACAGAGAATTCTGCTGTTGTGTCCTTGGGCAAGACACTTAACCCACCTTCCCTGCTGCTGGTGTTGGTCGGAGGGTCCGGTGGCGC